TCTTAAACCTGCAACAGGAGGGAATTTTGCAYGCGCACGCGCCGAAATGCTTGACTGAACACGAGTGCATACCCAGATGAGCAAGAATACTGCATTGTTTACCTATTTAATGTAATATTTTTACCCTAATTTACCTGGTCAACTAATATGATGAAAAGAGAGATGAGTTTTCTTTACAGAATGGACTTTTTAGCGCGAAGAAAACACTGCAAAAGTGTCATGGCTGCTTTCGTTGTCCATACAACACAAGTGAAATACTCTCAATTAATATTCAGTGCCAGAGGTACATCGTATGGATATGGATACACATGGCAAGAGTTTATTAATAATCATAATATCTTGGTCAACCCTAACTATATACAAAAAGTATCCTTATTCTWTATCAAATCACTTACATGTTCAAATTTTAGTAAATGTTCGAGTAGCAATCACTCTAAAACTAGACGCTATCTCCACCTCCTGTGTTGGTTTTTTATAACCAGAAATCCTTCTTCATTCGAAAAATACAGGTTATTTTAGAGAGAAAAATCGGCTTCAAGGTGTATTTACATTGTTTTTGGGGGGGAGTTTGAAGCCTATGTTATAACTATATCTTCCTTTTACGAGAAGCATCAGGCTAATCAAAATTCTTTTGCCATTTTTTTATGTGGCTTTGCATAACGAGCTTCATAGTACTTTGAAAAACAGGCCTCCTGCTGATGTCCGTTCCCTGAGAGGACCAACATCGGCAGGGGTCAAACAGAAAGTGCGTTTCATGAATTAGGGCGTAGGTGTTGGTTTTTACACTTCGAGCGTAACCTTTTGAGTATTGAATGTCAGCAAATGCGATTAAATCTTATCAATGTTTTTATTCAAAACATTATGGCAACACAAAGTTTATAAAGTCTCCTTGCAATTAGCTTGTTTACAATTTTTCTGTGAACAGTTTTGAATATTCTAAACATTGTTCTCGACTCGTGTAGGAATGTTATTTTAAACGTATGGTGTTTGAAGTATTTTGAAAAGTTATTTCTCAGCTTTTTGTTACATGGTGTAACTTAAAACATTATTGTGACCATAGTTAATAGAGAGGACCTCTGTTGTGACTGAACATTAGCGAGTAAAGTATTTGCGTGCTTAGTTTTCTAATGAATTCGGGCATCAGTCCTTCGTCAAAGTTGAAAGCAAAATAATCCGTTTGCATCGACGATTTACTCTCTAGTTCGGTCACGAGAGCTAGAATATCTTAGATATGGACAACTCAGAAAAGCTTTTAAAGTG